CTGGTGTACTGCTTTCTTCGTTTTCTTGAAATTTTATTCTTTCTGTATATCCGCTTTGTGCTAGCGCCTCGTTGTATATGGGTGCAGTTTTTTTCGAAAGCTTCCTGATTGGTTGATAGTTGCGATATTCGTTTTGCTATGGTTTCTGGGATGCGTTTAATGATCGGGGTGTATAAGAGACAGGGGGGGGGGTGTTGGACTGGGCATTTATGTATAAGGGTTGGTTGCCGGGTTTTCTGTATGGCTGGTATGTTTCCGTTTCCAGGTTGAGGATGACTTCTAGGTAATTTACAGATTTCAGGTTAGTTTGTACGGTTATTTTTAGGCCGTGTGCTTGAAATATTTTAATAAGTTTCTTTCTTGTTAGATCTGCTTTTCTGGCAGTTTGATTTCTTAGGACGGCTAAGCCGTCGTCTCTGTATAGACTGATGCTAGTGGCGTTTAAGTTTATTTCAAGTTCCTGTAGTAAGTATAGTCCTATTATTTCATAGATTTCTGCTCCATCAAATCCGCCCATAGTGACGTCAAATGCGTTTCGTGTTTCCCTCTTTACCCATGCTCTTTCTTTGTTGTCATAAAGTAGGGATTTTCTTGCGTGCATTATGGTCCTGTACTCTATTTCTGGAATAGATGTGTATTGTTTGGCCCATGCTAGTACTTTGGTGAGGAGCTCTTCTGATGTTGATGGGTAAAAGTCTACGATATCGAAGACGATGAAAGTTAGATGTTGTTTTTCTTGCAGGTTGTTAAACCAGTCTAATACGGCGGATGTGTTTCTCCATTGCTTTACGTGTATTTTTTGCCTTATATCGTTATTTATTCGGTCTAGCATATGCTTGCTTACTTTTCCTATTTCACTTTTTGTTGGATTGATAAGTCTGCATTTTAAGTTTGTTTCAAAGTTTTCTTTGTGGTCTTTAAGAGAGATGAAGGATTGTCTGCATGCTGTGTTGCCTATCCTGTCGTTTATTTTCCATTCTTAGGTGATTATGTCGAATTCTGTGTTGATTTCATTGATTGTGCTGGTATGGGCAGTCTTATAATTCTGAGTTATGTTCTGGGTGAGCAATTTTTCGTAGTTTTCTTGGTTCATCTTGTAGAAATTTCTTGTTTTGTCTGCCGGTATAAGTGGCTTATTCGACGAGTTGATCTGTTTGATGTCTTCCGATAGTTTGGACTGAAATTAGTTTTTTGTTTTCCGGAATTTTATGCTGGTTGTCATATCTATTATTTCTTTTTTCGAATTGCATCATATCTTCTATTTGTATCATATCTTCAATTTTGTGGTGGTGTCTTTTTAGACTTGAAGCCAAATTTTCCGTAGTTTTCGTCAATTCTGTCTATGGTATTTTCGTCTTTTTCTGTCTTTTTGTCGAAAAAGAAGGCTTTCCATTTCTGAAATTAATAAGCAAACACTTCCCAAGAGGACAAAGATACCACAAACTCTTTAACAAAAACAACATTAAAGTCAGTTACAGTTGCATGAAAAACATTGGAACAATCATTAGTGCACACAATTCAAAAATCGTCAAAAAAAACCAAAGAAGAGACACCCAGTAAGTCATGCAACTGCAGAAATAGCGTGAACTGCCCATTAAACGGTAAATGCCTAACCAGTGCCCTAGTATATAGAGCCACCATAACAACACAAGAAAACACACAAACATACATAGGCCTGTCAGAGGACCTTTCAAGCAAAGGTATAACAACCACAGGAAATCGTTTAGACACGAACAATACGAAAAGGAAACAGAACTCTCAAAACACATATGGCAACTAAAAAGAAAAGGTCATGAATATGCAATAAAGTGGGAGATCCTAAAGAAATCAAACACACAAATGCGCAATTCAGGGCAATGTAACCTATGCATTGAAGAAAAACTAGCCATCCTATGCAACAAAGAACCCAACACAATTAACAAAAGAAACGAGCTCATCACTAAGTGCCGTCACAACAAATCTAAATATGAAAGGGATAGAAACAGATGACAAATGGGTATAACATTAAGTAACGACCTAAGGCTGCCAGTTGTCTGATGACCGCCATAGGGCGCGAAACTCAGAGTAACAACCAAGCCACAAAAAAACATTGCAGAATACATTATACTAATATATATTATATATAATATATAATATATATATATATACATATATATATATATATATATATATACACACACATATATATATATATATTATAACATACGTAAGAATGTGTCTACTATTGATGTCTGTATTTTTATTATTAATCGTCTCCATATTACTTTTTGTACATATATATTTATCTAGAATAGATAAATAGGCCAATCATTTTACAATCAATTTTTAACTCTCTGTCACCTTTATTATTTATAAGATAGCCTGTATAATAATGATTCATGATGTTTTCCATTATTCTCGCTGATGAAGGCCATAGGAGTGGCAGAAATATCCGAGTTACTAATAAATCAGTGTTCTTAAAGTTTACTATTGAAGCTGTTTAATCATGTGGTAGTACTCGTCTTAGCAAGTATAATTGGGTGTAGGGGTAATATAACTTCTGGTGTGTCAAATGATTTGCACCTATTATCGTAACATGTTCAAACTCCTAAACTGCTTACCATACATTCAAATAATGACATTGTTTCTCTATTAGACAAAGAAGCACCAAAACTTGAATGTCCACCAAACCAAATTTTAACAGGTGATTCTAGCTGTATGGCAACTGCAACATGGGCGGCACCGAATGTCACAGACAACTCAGGAGACATTTTTTCACCAGTGTGTGATTACATGAGAGGAACAACTTTCTTTGAACATAACACTACTGTTATTTGTAATGCTACTGACGATTATGACAACACTGGGTACTGTACATTCAATATTTTCATCATTGGTAAGATGTATGTAGCGGGTTCTTACTATCTTTAACGAGAGTTTTGCGCAGCGCTGACACCGCGAACTACACCGGAAATTTTAACCGGGTTTGGTTCTTCAAATCATAATTCTAAAGACGAAACTAGGAATCGTGTGGATTCAGTTCGCACTTACGGGTTTCAGTCGGTAGAGTTAACTACGTCATCCAGCAAGAAAACAAAACACGTCACACGTTAAACTTATTTAAACACCTAAATGATTTATTGGGCTAGGAGTTTGGGATTTATTATAAAGGGGAATTTAACTAGCGTTGTATACCACTCACAAGAGACCGTAGGCAGCGTACCCTTGTTGTAGACGAACAATATTGCGAAAAGTCATACAAAAATAGAGGTCAGGGAATATAGTAAATAAAGTCAGCGATATCCAATAAAGTAACATAATTTAAAGAATAGTCCAGGGAAAAGCCCCCCCCCCCCCACACACACACACCCACACACGCACCCATACACACACACAAACGCACACACACACAGACACACTCACACATACACCCCCACACCCACACACACACATACACACACACACACACACACCCCCACGATTTGATTTTTATCATTAAAATATATGTATGAGTACATTTTATTTATTGTACAGATGAGACAGCCCCTAATGTGTCTTGCCCAGTTGACATTGAGGTGTGCACGGACCTAGGAACAGATTCAGTCGATGCCACCTGGGAACCAGCCAATGCAACCGACAACTGCTGTAGTGATTTCAACATAACTACTAACTACACTAGCGGAAATTCTCTGTCACTTGGTGTATACACAGTAGGATATGCAGCAACAGATTGTAATGGGAATGCTGGTTACTGTCAATTTACTGTTGAAGTTAAAGGTACCAGAAACATTTTCAAATAATTAACATCATTAAACGTACGTTTTAGTAGATAAAAATAAGTTTGGTTGTCCACAAGAACGGGTTTGACATAATAATAAAAACATATTCTGTAGTTAAGCCGTTTAATTTTACAAATGAATGTAATATATGTTGCACTGACAGAAACATTTTCAAATAATTAACATCATTAAACGTACTTATCAGTAGTTAAAAATAAGTTTGATTGTTCACAATAACATACTTGAAATAATATTAATAAAAAATATTCTGTAGTTAAGTAATTTGATTTTACAAATGAATGTAATATGTTGCACTGACAGCATTTTATGGATTATAATTAGATTGTGAGCCTCCGATTCTTGAATGTCCACCAAGCCAAAACGTAACAGGTGACGAGAACTGCTGGGCAAATGTCACCTGGACAGCGCCATATGTTACAGACAACTCTGGAGACTCTTTTACACCAGTATGTGATCATATAGGAAGCATATTTTATGATGTCAGCACTGTTGTAACATGTAATGCCACTGACAATTATAACACTGGCAATTGTACATTTACCATTACTATTTATGGTAAGTCATATTCTGATTGACTTAGAATTATTATTAACAAAATAAAATACATTTAGAAGAGTTTATGAATTACATGTCTCCCTTTAATTAAAGACCCCTCCAATTATAGTGACGCTCAAGGACCATCTGTTGAAGATCAACAATCTTGTCAGACAATAATACTGTAACCAGCAACGGACACTACGAGATGCCACTCTCCTTGCGTAACAACGTAAAGACCCTTCCTAACAACAGATGCCTCGCAGAAAAAAGACTACAGTCCGTAAAGAAGAAATGTGATAAAAACAAAGATTACAAGAAAGACTACATTGAATTTATGGAAGGAATGTTGAAGGAGTATGCGGAACCCATACCAAACAATGAAATTGATCTCCGTCACGGTATGATCAACTATCTCCCACATACAGGCATTTATCACGCAAAGAAGAATAAGATAAGGGTAGTGTTTGATTGTAGTGTACCCTTCCATGGTACCTGCCTGAATGATCACCTAATGCAAGGGCCTGATTTATCAAGTTGTTTAGTTGGAGTCCTGATTCGATTCAGAAGAGAGGCGGTAGCTGTATTAAGTGACATTAAAGGAATGTTTAATCAATTTTACGTGGCACCTGAGCATAGGGACATTTGTTTGGAGCCACCAGTTCGCCCGGAGTGGCAAATTTTGGTATGAAGCGTGCATCAGATGATGGCGAGGAGTTTTGTTCTAAAGCACAGGATTATGTCAGAAATGATTTCTACGTGGATGACGGTCCAACATCACGGGCAACTGTGGAAGAGACAATCAAGCTCGTTGATTCTGCTGTGAAGTTGTGTGATAAGGCAGGATTGTTACTTCACAAATGGGTATCCAATAACAGGGAAGTCATCTCATCAATTCCCGCAGAACTCAGGGCAAAGGAAGTTCAACAGTTGAAACCAGGGGACAAACTACCCACAGTACGAGTGTTAGGAGTACTTCGGTGTGCAGAAACCGACTCCTTTTACTTCAAGATGGATTTGGATGAGCAAAGTGTTAGCAGAAGAGGGATCCTATCAACTGTGTGTTCAGTGTATGACCCTTTAGGTTTCTTGGCACCGGTAATGTTAACTGGAAAAGCAATTTTACAAGGGCTCTGCAAAGAAGGAATCGGATGGGATGACCCGGTTCCAGATGATCTCAAGGTTAAATGGACTAAATGGAGGAACGACCTCAACAAACTTGAAGTACTGCGGATAAATAGATGTATCAAGCCTGATAATACGAATGTAGCTTCCCTAGAACTTCATCATTTCTCGGATGCGTCGGAAGCCGGATATGGCCAGTGTTCCTATTTACGAGTATTATACCGAGATGGTGGAGTGAATGTTTCATTTGTGACCGGCAAAGCTAGAGTCATGCCACTAAATAGACGAATTACCATACGTTTAGAACTAACCGCAGCCGTGGTTTCCGCAAGAGTGAGTGCCTATTTGCGAAAGGAATTGAGACTAAATGGTGTTAAAGTGTACTACTGGACTGATAGCAAGGTTGTGATATGCTACCTGAAGAGTGAGACAAAGCGTTTTAAGATTTATGTTTCTAACAGAGTGCAGCTCATATGTGATTTAACAAAGATGGATCAATGGAAGTATGTACGCTCAGAAGACAATCCCAGTGACGAAGGAAATAGAGGCATGACAGCTGCCCAACTTGTCGCCAATCCAAGGTGGTTGAACGGTCCAAAATTTATATGGAACAAAAAATTTGAACCAAGTAAGGTGGCGGATGCCAACTAGGATGACGTAGAGGATATACAGTGTGAGTTGAAACACAGCACCATGGCTGTAGATGTAATAGAAAACTTTGACTTACTCAAAAGGTTTGACAGATATTCAACATGGGACAAGGCTTGCCGCTCTGCAGCTTATCTGTTGAAGTTGAAACGAAGATTGTCTTGTGCTCCTAAGAACGATAAAGCAAGTCGTCATAGTACACAATTGAATGTTCAAGATGTGAGAGACGGGGAAACCACGCTCATCAAATTGGTGCAAAAGAGGAACTTTAATGAAGAGATTAAGGTTTTATGTAAAGCAAATGAGTTTAAGGACAGTCCCAGAGAACTTAAAGTACAACTGCAGAAGTCTGGAAGTCTGGTTAAGTTGGATCCTTTCCTTGATAAAGAGGGACAACTGAGAGTTGGTGGAAGATTGAAAAATTCGTGTTTGCCTTTCGATGTTAAACACCCAGTTATCTTACCTAAGAAAAGTCATATAACTAAGTTAGTTATTATAATGTGTCACGACGAAATAAACCATATACTCAACTCTAAACAATATTCGCCAACATGGATATTGGATTATAAATGGTGCTAGCACAACCAGTCAATACATCCACCAATGTGTTACCTGCAAGAAACGGAGGGGAGCTTTGGAAACCCAGAAAATGGATAACCTTCCTGCAGAAAGACTCTCCACAATTCACGTATGTTGGGGTGGATCTATTTGGTCCCTTTGAGATAAAGGAAAGAAGATCTATGCGTTATGGTGTAATATTTGTATGCATGGCAAGTAAAGACATTCATCTTGAAACTACAAATTCTCTTGAAACTGATGCTTTCATTAACGCGTTGAGGAGATTCCTATCCATCCGAGGTCCTGTTCGACAAATGAGAGCAGATGTGGTACCAATCTTGTGGGAACAAGTAATGAGTTCAAAAGGTCTCTTCAAGAAATGAATCACTGGAGCATATCAGAGTTTCTTATCAAGCTGAAATGTGACAATGTGGAGTTCAAATTTAACATGCTGAGTAGTAGCCATATGGGTGGCATATGGGAAAGACAAATTAGAACGGTAAGGAGTGTTTTAGAACAATTAATTCACCAGGCTGGAACTCACTTGAATGATGAAGCATTAAGAACACTATTAGCTGAGGCGCAGAATATTGTAAACTCAAGACCCATCACAGTCAACCAATTGTCTGATCCCAATGCTCCAATTCCTCTAACTCCAAACCAAATTCTCACGATGAAATCTAAAGTTCTGTTACCACTACCAGGCACCTTTCAAAAGAATGATGTATATTGCATGAGACGTTGGAGGAGAGTGCAACACTTGGCCAACGAATTTCGGTCGCATTGGAAGCAGGAATACCTAGCCGCCTTGCAGCCAAGGAAGAAATGGGAAACGACCAAGAGAAATATGAGGGTCGGAGATATAGTTATTATGAAGGAACCAAATGCGAAACGAAATGAATAGGAATTGGCTAGGGTAATAGATTTGTACCCAAGTTCAGATGGACTGGTTCGCAATGTCAGGGTGTATTCTGGTAAGCGCCAGATAAAGCTTGATCGTTCGATTCATAGACTGGTTCTACTTATACCAAATGAAGAACAGACTGGAAGAATGAAGTCCAGAACTTTATTGACTTAAAAATGTCAAAACAATACCATGTTTACAGTATTAGCCTAAGACTATCATTAATATTGTTTACAAATGGTTTAGTAATTTTTGATGGTACAAATACATGTTATGATATTTGTGGCGAGGAGTGTAACGGCAACCGCGTTACCTTAGGATTGGGATACATTTTGACATTTCCTGGCAATGTCACGAATGCAGAATCGCTGTGGAGCATGGATGTTTCGTCAGTTTTTCTCCTCTTTAATCTCAGACTCCAAGATAATTCGATAAGTTTATGTTTCAAATTGCAAGTAATGAACATCAGTTTAACTAGTATAAGCAATATAATTCACAGTTAATGTTATCTTCTCAGTTTTCGTGAATACACTACTAGTTTTAGTACTTGCGAGTAGAGAACAAACGTCAACCGTGTTATGATTGGTCAAACAAGCACGTGACAATGACAGGTCGAAGGGTCACACATGTGCTGCTCTTGTTATTTTGATATGGAAACTACAGCACAGAAAGTCAGTTCGAACGCAACAAGTTTAAAAAGGCATAACATGTTTATGAACATATCGTGTCAACAGTAGTTCTAGATTTCCGTGTATTTAATAACAATATAAATTACAACTTTATATTCGTTAGTAACGAATATTAACAAGTAACAAGTAAGAAATTAGACAGCATCAGGGCTGCCATGGCCAAGTGGGGAAACTGTAACAGTAAACTGCGCGGTAAAATTGTTCGAAAGGGACAAAAAAAATATATATATATTGTGAGGCCCTGTCAATCTGGAGGGGTCCATAGGGGACCCGTGTCATTTTTGAGGGCACATGATAGTAATTATTATTTTTGAAAGAAACATTGAAAAAAAAATGCTACCTTCAATTTCTATGGGCCCCATGGTAGGCTTGGGCCACGGGGACCTTTCCCCCTGTCCCGCTCTCGGTGGCCTGGACAGCAGAGGAAAAACAGTCTTTCCATGACGTTGCGACAGGTTGGTGAGTGCGTGTACCGTACTCGTGAGATTAAGCGCCCGGGCGCCTAAAATATTTTTTGCACTGTTTGATGGGCGCTTATTCGAACGGGGCGTTTATGAAAATCGAGGGGTTCTTATGAGAACTTATTAAATTCAAGAGGCACATTTTGAATGAAAAACGATTACATAAGGACATCAGGAAACCGCAAATTAAGAATGGTGGTGCGGCGGAAAAGATAATCGTCCACAGAGCATGGCTTGTCATGACAAGAATGTTGTGAGTACAGTATTAGGCCTACATAACAGCAGAATAGCAGATGAAATTAGTGGTGGTGGTTAGCTTGTTGGCAATATTCGGCCGATTGAGATTAGCAGGATGGCATGATCATTGCAGGTTTTCTTGAAAACTCAGATGAGAATGTTTTAAAGGTGCAAATTGTCGGAAAATGAGTAGAACTAGGCTATAGACAAATGTAAGAAGATGAAAGTTGGAAATATACTGTCTGGCCATGGAGCTCTCATCTGTCCAAGATAAATATCCTCATTTTGATGTTGACTACAGGAATGTGATTCAACTCCACACCTCAAACCATGCCAACATCCGCAGTCCCAGGATTGATTGAGGGGGCGTTTATTCAAATTATGAATGGGCGCTTATTCAAACGGGGCGCTTAAGAAAATTTTCACGTTTATTCAAGAAGGGCGCTTATTCAAACGGGGCGTATATTCGCGCGAGTACGGTAGTAGATTGTGTACTTTTGATAAACTTCAAACAGAGCTTAGTAACATCAGGAAGTTTATGTCTTGGAATGGGTACCCTTTAAAAGTTGTTAACAATGTACTTAAGAAATTAAATGAACCTAAATGTATACATAGGCCTACTGACGATAGC